GCCTTCTACTTCGAGTTTTCGTTAAGCCAGCGCCTCCACCTACTCCTCTGCTTGGGAGTTTGGGCAGAATAACTTTTCCTTCTTGGTGATGCAACCAATTTTTCAAAATGAAAAGAAATTCACAGACAGTAAAATTTGCTGCAGGACGGGAGATTGTAAAAGTTTTCTCCGTTCTCTCTACATTTTCCGAGGCGTTGTGACATTCATTGGCTTGAAATCAGCCTCATGAGGCGGATCCACATTAATTTACAAGCAAGCTCAACTCCAATCACACAGTTTAGCCCATTTTTGACAAGTGAGTAAAATTTTGCGGTGGCAAACGTCATGATTGGTTTTGTTTTTAGAATAAATACCACCTTCAGTGGTTGTTGGAGTTGTTTATCTGTTCAAAATGACGCTTTTGCTTGTGATTTCTGGTAAGAAATGATCGGTTAAGTTTCAATTTCGGCAAGTGCCCCACAGGTGCAGCTTTTACAAAAGGTTATCCTGTGTCATGGTGAGAACATTATTAGCATTTTGAATGACCCTTCCTAACGTTTCTCCACCTCATTCATTGTAGGCTGTCGCATCAGGCATAACACCGTTACAGAAATCCCTTTACACCACTCTAGCATATCTCGTTACCGCCATCACTACTGATGCATCAATTCAAAAGGTGGAGGTTGAGCGGGTGATGCGCCTCTACGACGCCTTTGAGGCGACACGAGCTGCGCTGTGGCAGCAGGAGGCGGAGAAGTTACGACGTCGAGAGGTACTGACCACAGTGAAAAGTCGTTTGCGAGCACTGGTCGACGAGGAAGAGCGACTTACCTTCTTCGAGCACGCCGATGCTATTGAACGTCAAGCGTGGCTGGCGCCGCGCACTCGCAGCGAGCGTCGGTGGTCGCGAATGAAGGAGTGGAAGAAGGACCTTCGGGAGTATCACGAGAAACGACAAGGGGGTCGAGATGCCTTGGCTGACATCTAAGTTGCGAGTGGATAGTGCAGGGGATCAAATTTCGAATCGGTACTGTAGATTTTTTCAATCTTCTGTACAGCATTCATCAGCATGGCATGCCAATCGGATCTTTTCATGGTGCTTAAAGTTGCCACTGTTATTGCAGGCGAGATGATACTTTTCTAGTCATGAACTTCACCCATTTCTTGATAAATAGAATCGCAAACTCGAATTTTGTCATGAATTTCCAAATCTGCTGGCGTTTCAATTGTTTGGGGGACTTTCAACCCCTTACTTCGTTCTACTTCGTGGAATTTTCGCAGGAACCCAAGTGAATGCATTTGTTGGCTACTACTTTAGCGTGGTCGTGTAATGAAGTGTTTTGGGTTTGTGAATTCCAGCGCCCCTTTCAAATCTCACCGTTTGGGTCATCCTACTGACACGTTTTAATTCGCCTCAAATGCGCTCAGTGCCTATTGTCCTTCATAGGCTGGTGTTTGACTTACATTTAATTATCAGCAAGAATGAAAGACCTCTTATCAGTATTGAGATTTGATTTCATCCAAATGAATGCCTACTAGGAGGGAGAATTTTGCCCCTGAGAGCAGTTATTATCACCACTACTGATGAAGAGGCATTGGAGCAGTGAAACACCCTA